GGACCCCGTTTGCTACATTTACGCCAAGACTTGGGGCCGTAATGCAGACATTTTTTAACTTAATGCAAGCGTAACGGCACACTGACAAGTCCTTGTGGTGGTTTCATAACCCCTATTGATGTCCCTCTCCTAGTTGGTTCGGGATGTTTGTTATTGAGGCCCTAACTCTAGTGGTAATGTGCATCAGCTACTATTTGACAGAAAGAAGGATTACATTTGGAGAAGTCCTTTCCCAGGACATGGCAGATCAACATTGGTGGGTAGTTATTTTTTTAAGTTCTTATACTAGAACACCTCTATATTTTTATTGTACTCGAATACATGCACAAGAGTTTCATGCTTTTCTTTTATTTTATTTTTTGCCTTCGCTTATCTTTGTGCTCTTTCGACTTTAATTAATTGCTACATGCAACCTTTCAAGCAGTAAAAATGTTTACTATTTTTCAAGTGAACCAAAAAAATAAAAATATGAGCTCATATCCTTTCATTTAGGATTTGTTTGGCAAGACTGTTTTCTACATTCATATTGTCCATTTTAAATTAAAGAAAACATTCATATTGTCCATTTTAAATTAAAAAAAATAAATGTCGAATGCATTTTTAAATTAAACCATTTATGTCCTCAACTCAAAATTTGATGAAATAATGTTATAAAAATCATGAGACACCTTTAGCGGTCTTTTCACTTGTTTTGATAGCAAAGAGTACCTATATCAACATGTTACATATTAAATTGTATTAAGATTAAATAGTATTTAATACACAACAACAACAACAAAGCCTTAATCCCACTATGTGGGGTCGGCTACATGAATCATTTTTTCCATTACGTCCTATTTAGTGTCATATTTTCATTTAGTTCTAATAAATTAAGATCATTTTTTATACAATAAGCCCAAGTCTTCCAAGGTCTACCTCTGCCTTTCCTAACATAAGTCGTATCCAAAACATCTACTCTCCTAATCGAATCATCAAATGGTTGACGTTTAATGTGACCAAACCATCTAAGACGACTTTCTCTAATTTTGTCTGTCATAGGAGCTACACCAAACCTATCACGAATATATTCAATTTACATTGTCTCTTAAGTGTAAAGCCATCCACTCATCCACCTAATCATTCTCATATCAACAACACTTAACTTAGTATTATGCTTCTCTTTTAAAGGCCAACATTCAACGCCATAGAGCATTGCAGGTCTCACCACCGACTTATAAAATTTTCCTTTTTTTCTAAGTGGAACTTTTTTATCACACAAAAGGCTCGAAGCATTCCTTCACTTCAACCAACCAACTTGAATTCTACTATTAGCATCCCAATCTATATCACCATCGCTTTGAATAACAGCCCCAGATACATATCTAAATCGTTCACTCCTTTTAATAATTTGATCACCCAAATTTACACTTCTGTCACTAGAGCTAATACTACTAAAATTGCATTCCATGTATTCATTTTTAGCTCTTCTCAAATGAAGGTCTTTAGAATCCAATGTAGACCTTCATAATTCAAGTTTTTCCTGGGCTTTTTCTCTCGCCTTGTCCACGAGAAGGATATCATCAGCAAGAAACATACACTAAGGTAGATCCTCCTATAAATGTCCAGTAAGACCATCCATAATAAAACCAAAAAGGTATGGGCTTAAAGTTGATCCCTGATGTAATCCAACAGTAATAGAAAAATATTTGGTCAAACCTCCTTCAGTTTGAATACAAGTAACAGCTCTAGTGTACATATCTTTAATGACTTGAAAGTAAGTCATATCAACACCTTTCTTCGTAAGCTTTTTCTAAATCAATAAAAATCAAATGTAGATTCTCCTTATTATCTCTGAACTTCTTCATCAAACCTCTCAATAAATGTATAAGTTCCATAGTAGAACCTGCCGGCATAAATTCAAATTGATTATGAGAAATCTTTGTAATACGTCTTAGCCTATGTTCAATTACCCACTCCCATAATTTTAAAGTATGACACATAAACTTAATTCCTCTATAATTTGCACACTCTTGTGCATCCCCTTTATTCTTAAAAATGGGACCAAAAAATTCTTCCTCCACTCCTCATACATCTTTTTAGTTTTTAAAATAATATTAAAGAGTTTAGTATGCCAAGAAACTCCCAAATCTCCTAAATATTTTCACACTTCAATTGGGATATTATCAGGTCCTACAAACTTTCCACCCTTGGTTTTCTTTAAAACCTCCTTAATTTTTTACTAATGTGAACATAAAAATAAAACGTTTTATTATTATTAACGATATTAAGATCACTAAGGTCGATCATATTTTCAGAAATTTCATTAAAAAAATTTATCAAAATAACTCACACATCTATGTTGAATATTTTTTTTAAGAAAAGCATCTATTCTTCTAAGAAAAGTAATTTTTAATTTTCATCTTTAATACACTTAAATTAAATCTTTACTTTTCTTTTCTCTTTGTTAGGCTAGTTTATGCATATATTTCTCACCTCCCTTAGTATCTAATTTATTATAAATATCATTAAAAACAGAATTTTTAGCGTCACAGATTATTATTTTAGAATCTCTGCGGGTCGTTTAATATTTTTCCTAGTTCTCTAAACTTTTACATTTAAATCAATTTTTATAACATAACTTCTTATATTTTATTTTTTTTTGCAAATTATTATTCCGCCACCAACCATTTTTATTTATAGAAACTTTTTCTTTTGATTCTTCAAGTCTTCAAGTACAAACTTGTTTAATAGTGTTT